GTCACAGTGATATTGGGGGGGTCACTGCAATAATGTGAGGTTCACTGTGATGTTGGGGGTGATCACTGTGATTTTGGGGGGGTCATAGCGATATTGGGGGGGTCACAGTGATACTGGGGGGGTCACAGTGATATTGGGGGGGTCACTGTGATACTGGGAGGGGTCACAGTGATATTGGGGGGGGTCACAGTGATACTGGGGGGGGTCATTGCAATATTGGGTGATCACTGTGATATTGGGGGGTCACAGTGATATTAGGGGGGTCACTGTGATATTGGGGGGGTCACTCACTCCGCTGTCCCCCCCCTCCCCCAGGTGTGACGACGCTGGGCACGGTGACGGGGACGGTGTCCACCAGCCTGGCGGGGGGCGCGGGGGGTCACAGCGCCACGGCCTCGCTGGCCACGCCCATCACCACGCTGGGCACCATCGCCACCCTGTCCAGCCAGGTCCTGAACCCCGCAGCCATCACGGCCACCGCCGCCGGCGGGGGGCTGGGCACGCCCACCATCACCATGCAGGTGAGGGGACACTGGGGGCACTGGGGGTGACACTGGGGACACTGGGAGGGACATTGGGGGGGCTGGGCACGCCCACCATCACCATGCAGGTGAGGGGACACTGGGGGACATTGGGGACATTGGGGACAGTGGGGACACAGCAACAGGGGGGCTGGGCACGCCCACCATCACCATGCAGGTGAGGGGACACTGGGGACACTGGGGGGGCTGGGCACGCCCACCATCACCATGCAGGTGAGGGGACACTGGGGACATTGGGGGGGCTGGGCACGCCCACCATCACCTTGCAGGTGAGGGGACACTGGGGGGACATTGGGGACAGTGGGGACACAGCAACAGGGGGGCTGGGCACGCCCACCATCACCATGCAGGTGAGGGGACACTTGGGGGCATTGGGGAGACACTGGGGACATTGGGGGGGCTGGGCACGCCCACCATCACCATGCAGGTGAGGGGACACTGGGGGTGCTGGGCACGCCCACCATCACCTTGCAGGTGAGGGGACACTGGGGGTGCTGGGCCAGCCATCACCCTGCAGGTGAGGGGACACTGGGGGGACATTGGGGACACAGAGACAGGGGGGCTGGGCACGCCCACCATCACCATGCAGGTGAGGGGACACTGGGGGGACATTGGGGACAGTGGGGACACAGCAACAGGGGGGCTGGGCACACCCACCATCACCATGCAGGTGAGGGGACACTGGGGACACTGGAGGAGACACTGGGGGGGCTGGGCACGCCCACCATCACCATGCAGGTGAGGGGACACTGGGGGGTACATTGGGGGGGGCTGGGCACGCCCACCATCACCATGCAGGTGAGGGGACACTGGGGGGGCATTGGGGACATTGAGGGGGCTGGGCACGCCCACCATCACCATGCAGGTGAGGGGACACTGGTGACACTGGGGGGGGCTGGGCACGCCCACCATCACCATGCAGGTGAGGGGACACTGGGGGACATTGGGGACATTGGGGGCTGGGCATGCCCCACCATCACCATGCAGGTGAGGGACAGTCGAGGGGACACTGGGGGCATTGGGGACGCTGGGGCTGGGCACGCCCACCATCACCATGCAGGTGAGGGGACACTGGGGGGACATTGGGGACATTGGGGGGGCTGGGCATGCCCACCATCACCATGCAGGTGAGGGGACAGTGGGGACACTGAGGACATTGGGGACACAGAGACAGGGGGGCTGGGCACGCCCACCATCACCGTGCAGGTGAGGGGATACTGGGGGGACATTGGGGGTGACACTGAGGGGGACATTGCGGGGGCTGGGCACGCCCACCATCACCATGTAGGTCAGAGGACACTGGGGGGACATTGAGGGGACATTGGGGGAGACACAGGTTGGGCTGGGCTGTAGATTGGTGAGGTACCATGAATTGGGGGTGGGTTTGGTCGATGTGTGTGGGGGGAACTGTGGGTGTGCCCCCCCTATGCCCAGAGGTATCCCCAGAAACCCCCCAACCCCCCTTCTGGGTGGGCCTATCCCATGTCCCATCTTTAGGGGTGGCAGAGATGGGGGTGTCCCGTGAATTGGGGGTGGGTTTGGTCGATGTTGGGGGGGCTGTGGGTGTGCCCTCCTAACCCCCATTTCTGGGGACACCCAGCCCGTGTCCCAGCCCACGCAGGTGACCCTGATCACGACGCCCAGCGGGGTGGAGGCCCAGCCCGTGCACGACCTGCCCGTGTCCATCCTGGCCTCGCCCACGGCCGAGGGTCCGGCGGCGTCGGGGGGGCTCCCCGAGCCCACCCCGGCCGAGGGTGGGGGGGGCACGCCCGGCACCGTCACCCTGGTGTGCTCCAACCCCCCCTGCGAGACCCACGAGACGGGCACCACCAACACGGCCACCACCAGCCTGGTGGCCAACGTCGGGGGGGGGGCCCCCCAGCTCCAGCTGCTCTGCGAGGGGGCCCCGAGGGCGGGGGAGGGGCGGGCCCGCGCCTGCTCCAACCCCCTGCGAGACCCACGAGACAGGCACCACCAACACCCCCTGACGGCGGCGGGGGCCGCGCCTGGGCTCCCCTGCCCCCACTCCAGCAGACGGCGGCCACGGCACCACCATGACGGCGCGGCTGCCGGGACCCCCCGCTCCTGCTCCTGCTGCCCTCACCCGAGACCGCCACGTGCCAAAACCCCCCCGGGCTGGGGGCGGAGGAGCCCCCTCCCCAACCACCGCCACCGCCACCACCGTCGTGCCAAACCCCCCCGTCCTGGGGCACCCCCAGCGCCGCGGGGGGGGCGGGACCCTGCGCCAACCCCCCCCACGGGACCGGCACCACCAGCACGGCCACCGCCAGCACCACCGCGGCGGGGGGTGCCAGGACCCCCCAGAGCCCCGGGGCCACCGGCGCTGGAGGAGGGGGGGGCTTGAGGCCCTGCTCCAACCCCCCCTGCGAGACCCATGAGACCGGGACCACCAGCACGGTGACCACGGTGGGCTCGAGGCTCTGCTCCAACCCCCCCTGCGAGACCCACGAGACGGGCACCACCAACACGGTGACCACCACGGCCCCCAGACCGCCCTGCTCCAACCCCCCCTGCGAGACCCACGAGACGGGGATGACGAGCACGGTGACCACCACGGCGCCCAGAGCTTGTGCCAACCCCCCCTGCGAGACCCACGAGACGGGCACCACCAACACGGCCACCACCGTGTCCTCGAGGCTCTGCTCCAACCCTCCTTGTGAGACCCACGAGACGGGCACCACCAACACGGCCACCACCGTGTCCTCGAGGCTCTGCTCCAACCCCCCCTGCGAGACCCACGAGACGGGCACCACCAGCACGGCCACCACCACCACGGGCTCGAGGCTCTGCTCCAACCCCCCCTGCGAGACCCACGAGACGGGCACCACCAACACGGCCACCACCGTGTCCTCGAGGCTCTGCTCCAACCCTCCTTGTGAAACCCACGAGACGGGGACGACCAACACGGTGACCACCACGGCCCCCAGACCCTGCTCCAACCCCCCCTGCGAGACCCACGAGACGGGGACGACCAACACGGTGACCACCACGGGCTCGAGGCTCTGCTCCAACCCCCCCTGCGAGACCCACGAGACGGGCACCACCAACACGGCCACCACCACCACGGCCAGCGCCGGCTCCCGGCCCCCCCCCGAGGCCGCCGCTCCGGCCGGGGGGTCCCAGCCCTGCTCCAACCCCCCCTGCGAGACCCACGAGACCGGCACCACCAGCACGGCCACCACGGCCACGGCCGGGGGGGCGCAGGGCTCGCCCCCCGCCTGCCAGACCCACCCGACGGCGGCCACCGGCACCACCACCACGGCCACGGCGGCCACACGGGGGCCCCGGCAGCCCCCCCCGCGCCTGCTCCAACCCCCCCTGTGAGACCCACGAGACCGGCACGACGGCCACGGCCACCACCGTGACGGCCAGCATGGGGGCCAGCCAAGGTGGGACCCCCCCTGCCCTCCTCAGAGACCCCCTGCCCTTCAGAGAGACCCCTGCTCTTCAGAGAGACCCCCTGCCCTCCATAGAGACCCCACCCCTCCTCAGAGACCCCCACCCCTCCATAGAGCTCCCCATCCCTCCTCAGAGACCCCCTGCCCTTCAGAGAGACCCCTGCCCTCCATAGAGACCCCCACCCCTCCTCAGAGACCCCTTACCCTCCTCAGGGAGCCCCTTTCCTCCATAGAGACCCCCACCCTCCATGGAGCCCCCCTGCCCTCCATAGAGACCCCTCACCCCTCCTCAGAGACCCCCTGCTCTCCACAGAACCCCCTGCCCTCCACAGAGACCCCTCACCCTCCTCAGAGATCCCCTGCCCTCCTCAGAGACCCCACCCCTCCTCAGAGACCTCTCACCCCTCGTCAGAGACCTCTACCCCTCCATAGAGACCCCCACCCCCATGGAGACCCCTGCCCTCCATAGAGACCCCCTGCCCTCCTCAGAGACCCCCTGCCTTCCATAGAGACCCCCACCCCTCGTCAGAGACCCCTGCCCTCCATAGAGACCCCCTGCCCTCCATAGAGACCCTCACCCTCCATAGAGCCCCCCACTCCTCCGTAGTGCTCCCCACCCCTCCTCAGAGACCCCCTGCCGTCCAAGGAGCCCCCTTGCCCTCCATAGAGACCCCCACTCCTCCATAGAGACCCCCTGCCCTCCACAGAGACCCCCTGCCCTCCTTAGGGAGCCCCTGCCCTACTCAGAGCCCCCTGCCCTCCATAGAGCCCCCACCCCCTCCACAGAGACCCCCTACTCTCCACAGAACCCCCTGCCCTCCATAGAGACCCCCTGCCCTCCTCAGGGAACTCCTGCCCTACTTAGAGCCCCCTGCCTTCCATAGAGACCCCCACCCTTCCACAGAGACCCCCTGTCCTTCAGAGAGACCCTCACCCCTCTATAGACCCCCTACCTCCTCAGAGCCCCCTGCCCTCCATAGGGCCCCCATTTGGGGTCTCACCCTGCTCACCCCCAGTTCTCCCCACAGACCCCTCCCCCATTTTGGGAGGGTCTCACCACTCACCACCAACCCCCTCCCCAATTCTCCCCACAGACCCCCACCGGCTGCCAGCGGGCAGGGGAGCCTGAGGAGCCCCCAGGGCGAGGGAGCCCCGCCGGGACCCCCAGCCCCGGCCCCAGCGGCACTGGGACCCCCAACCCGAGCGGTCACCACGGTCACCCAGTCCACGCCCGCCCGGGGCCCGCCGTGCCGGTGAGGGGCTGGGGACACCGAGGACACTGGGAGGGCTCTGGGGACACCTGGGGACACCGGGGGCTCTGGGGACACTGGGGAGGGCTCTGGGGACACTGGGGAGGGCTCTGGGACACCTGGGGACACCGGGGGGGCTCTGGGGACACTGGGGAGGGCTCTGGGGACACTTGGGGACACCGGGGAGGGCTCTGGGGACAGGCTGAGGGGCTGGGGACACCTGGGGACACTGGGGGAGGCTCTGGGGACACCTGGGGACACTGGGGGACACTGGGGAGGGCTCTGGGGACACCGGGGACACCGGGAAGGGCTCTGGGGACACTGGGGAGGGCTCTGGGGACACTGGGGGACACTGGGGGAGGGCTCTGGGGACACCGGGGGACACTGGGAAGGGCTCTGGGGACACTGGGGGAGGGCTCTGGGGACAGGCTGAGGGGCTGGGGACACTGGGGGAGGGCTCTGGGGACACTTGGGGAGGGCTCTGAGGACACCTGGGGACATGGGGGACGGCTCTGGGGACACTGGGGAGGTCTCTGGGAACAGGCTGAGGGCTGGGGACACTGGGGAAGGGCTCTGGGGACACTTGGGGACATGGGGGAGGGCTCTGGGGACAGGCTGAGGGGCTGGGGACACCTGGGGACACTGGGGGGCTCTGGGGACACTGGGGGATACTGGGGAGGGCTTTGGGGACACCGGGGGAGGGCTCTGGGGACACTTGGGGACACGGGGGGTGGGCTCTGGGGACACCTGGGGACACTGAGGGAGGGCTCTGGGACAGGCTGAGGGGTGGGGACACGGGGAGGGCTCTGGAGACACTTGGGGACACGGGGGGAGGGCTTTGGGGGACAGGCTGAGGGGCTTTGCTGGCAGGGAGGAGGGGTCTCTATGGGGGGGTCTCTGTGTGTCTGTGAGTGTCTCTGTGTCTGGGGGTGTCTCTGTGTGTCTGGGGGGTCTTTGTATGTCTGGGGGGGCTGTATGTATGGGGGGCTGTGTGTGTTTGGGGGGTCTCTGTGGGTCTGGGGGTCTCTGTGTGTCTGTGGGGGTCTCTGTGTGTCTGAGGGGTCTCTGTATGTCTGTGGGGGTCTCTGTGTGTCTGGGGGGTCTCTGTGTCTGGGGGGGTCTCTGTGTGTCTGGGGAGTCTCTGTGTGTTTGAAGGGTCTCTGTATGTCTGGGGGGTCTCTGTGTGTCTGAATAGTCTCTGTGTGTCTGGGGGTCTCTGTATGTCTGGGGGGGGTTTCTGTGTGTCTGGGGGGGGTCTCTGTGTGTCTGGGGCTCTCTGTATGTCTAGGGGGTCTCTCCCCTCTCCAACCCCCTTTTCCCCCCTCCCCCACAGACCATCTCATCACTGACCGAGTCACCGCCGGCGCCCCGAGACCCCACCGCCACCACCACCACCACAGCCACCCCACCCCCTGGAGACCCCTCAACCCGCCCAGACCCCCTCCGGCCCCTCCCCGTCCCCCAGCCCCCACCCCACCCCCAGCTGCCCCCCGCGCCCCACCCCAGCGGCGCCGCCCCTCCCTCGGGGTCCCGGAGCCGCTGGCCGTGGTGGTGCTGCCGCCCGGCCCCGGCGAGGGGGGTGCTGGCGAGGGGCTGGCGCTGCCCCCGAGCTGCTGGCCGAGGCGGGGGCGCGAGGGCCCCGGGCTGACCCCGAGGAGCTGGCGGTGACGGCGGCGGCCGAGGCGGCGGCGGCGGCAGCGGCGAGCGAGGAGGCCCAGGCGCAGGCCCTGGCCATCCAGGCCGTGCTGCAGGCGGCCCAGCAGGCCGTCATGGGTGAGGGGGGGGCTCCTGGGGGGTCTCTGGGGGGGTTATGGGACCAGCAGGGAGGTTGTGGGCCTGTATTTGTGGTGGTGACCCCCCCGTGGTGACCCCATGGTGGTCACGGTGCTGTGAGGGTGGTCCTGGGCCCAGCAGGCTGTCATGGGTTATGGGGGGCTCCTGGGGGGCTCTGGGGGGGTTATGGGACCAGCAGGGAGGTGGTGGCACCCCATAGTTGGGGGGGTGACCCCCCATGGTGGCCCCATGGTGGTCGTGGTGCTGTGAGGGTGGTCCTGGGCCCAGCAGGCCGTCATGGGTGAAGGGGGGCTCCTGGGGGGTCCTGGGGCAGATTTAGGGGTCTCTGAGAGGTTTGGGGGGTTGTAGGACCAGCAGAGAGATGATGACCCCATAGTTGTGGTGACCTCCATGGTTGGGGGGGGTGGTCGTGGTGCTGTGAGAGTGGTCCTGGGCCCAGCAGGCCGTCATGGGTGAAGGGGGAGCTTTGGGGGGTCCTAAGGGCGTTTGGGGGGGCTGTGGGACCAGCAGAGATGATGACCCCATAGTTGTGACCCCATGTTGGGGGAGGTGATGACCCCATAGCCGTGGTGCTCATATGAGGGCAGTGGTGACCCCATAGCCAAGGGGGTCCCACAGGGTGGGGGTTGATGCCCCCATAGTTGTGGTGACCCCATAGCCAGGGGGGTCCCACAGGGTGGGGGTTGATGCCCCTATAGTTGTGGTGACCCCATAGCCCGGGGGTTCCCACAGGGTGGGGGTTGATGCCCCCATAGTTGTGGTGACCCCATTCCCATAGGGGAGGTTGATGCTCCCATAGTTGTGACCCCATAACCATGGGGGTCCCACAGTGGGGGTTGATGCCCCCATAGCTGTGGTGACCCCATAACCAGGGGGGTCCCACAGTGGGGGGTGGGGGTGTTAATGCCCCCATAACTGGGTGTCCCACAACCCCACCCCCCAAGATACTGGGGGTGTAACCCCCTACTCTAACCCACCCCTTCCCCCTCTGTGTGTCCCCACAGGCTCCTCAGAGCCCCTGGAGCCGGGGGAGCCCGGGGGGGGCCCCGCTGAGCTGGGGGCTCTGGGTGCCGAGGGCGGGGGGTCCGCGGGGGGGACCCTGCCCCTGGTGCTGACCCAGCAGGAACTGGCGGCGCTGGTGCAGCAGCAGCAACAGCAACTGGCCGAGTCCGGGGCCGCCCCCGCCGCCCCCTCCTCTGCCACCCCCGGCGCCCCCACCCCCACCAACGCCCCCAGGCCCTCCGGCCGCCCCCACCTGCCCACCGAGGCCTTGGCGCCCGCCGACAGCCTCAACGACCCCGCGGGCGACGCCAATGGGCTGGGGGAGCTGGGGACCCCCGGGGGGGCACCCACGGCCCTGCTGCCCCCCCCTGGAGATGGTGAGACATGGGGGGGGTTATGGATGATGAGTGAGGACCAGCTTTGGGGGGGGTGGGACCCCTGGGGGGGCACCCACGGCCCTGCTGCCCCCCCTCAGAAATGGTGAGACATGGAGGGGTTATGGATCCAGGTTTGGGGGTGGGACCCCCAGAGGGGCACCCACGGCCCTACTGCCCCCCCCTGGAGATGGTGAGATAATAGGGGTTATGGATCCATTTTGGGGGTGGGACCCCCGGGGGGGCACCCACAGCCCTGCTGCCCCCCCCTGGAGACGGTGAGACATGGGGGGGGTTATGGATCCATTTTGGGGGGATGGGACCCCCGGGGGGGCACCCACAGCCCTGCTGCCCCCCCCTGGAGACGGTGAGACATGGGGGGGTTTAGGGTTAGGGTTTGGGGGTTGGGGACCCCCGGAGGGGGCACCCACAGCCCTACTCCCCCCCCCAGAGATGGTGAGATATGGGGGATTAGGGACCCATTTTGGGGGTGGGACTCCCGGGGCACCCACGGCCCTGCTGTCCCCCTGGAGATGGTGAGACATGGTGGGGGTTAGGGTTAGGGTTTGGGGGGTGGGACCCCCGGGGGGGCACCCACGGCCCTGCTGCCCCCCCCCGGAGATGGTGAGATAATAGGGGGTTATGGATCCATTTGGGAGGTGGGACCCCGAGGGCACCCACAGCCCTGCTGCCCCCTGGAGACGGTGAGATATGGGGGATTAGGGACCCATTTTGGGGGGCACCTCTAATGTCGCTGGGGGGGCTGTGGGACCCCCAGATTTCTCAGGATGGGGTGGCTGAAAACACCTGCAGAATTCGAGGGGGTCTTTGAAGCCCCCTCAACTCTCTGTGTCCCCCCCACCCCAGGCCTGGCCCCCTCGAGCGCCTTCGTGGCCCCCCCGGGCCCCGCGGTCGCCCCCAGCCCTGCCAAGCTCCAGGCGGCCGCCGCCCTGGCCGAGGTGGCCAACGGCATCGAGAGCGCCCCGGCGGTGAGTGGGGGGTCCTGGGGGGCTCCAGGAGGGTGTCCCCAGCACAGGGTGACCCCCCCTCCTCGTTTCTCTCCCCCAGAAGGCAGAGGCGCAGCCCCCCAAGGCGCTGCCCAAGAAGGAGAACCAGTGGTTCGACGTGGGCGTCATCAAGGGCACCACCATGATGGTCACACACTACTTCCTGCCCCCCGAGGACGCGCCGCCCCCCGACGTGAGTGACACCCCCTTGCTCTGGGGACACCTCTGGGGACACCCTCATAGCACTGGGGACATCCCTGGGGACACCCCCCTGCTCTGGGGACACCTCTGGGGACACCCCCACAGCACTGGGGACACCCCCACAGCACTGGGGACACCCCTGGGGACACCCCCATAGCACTGGGGACATCCCTGGGGACACTCCCATAGCACTGGGGACACCCCACAGCACTGGGGACACCCCCACAGCACTGAGGACATCCCTGGGGACACCCCCCTGCTCTGGGGACACCCCTGGGGACACCCCCACAGCACTGGGGACAGCCCCACAGCACTGGGGATATTGCTGGGGACACCCCCACAGCACTGGGGACACCCCCACAGCACTGGGGACACCCCCACAGCACTGGGGACACCCCCATACACTGGGGACATCCCTGGGGACACCCCCACAGTACTGGGGACATCCCTGGGGACACCCTCATAGCACTGGGGACACCCCCACAGCACTGGGGACACCCCCATAGCCTGGAGACACCCCATGGGACACCCCCACACACTGGGGACACCCCTGGGGACACCCCCACAGTACTGGGGACACCCCCCGTTGGCACCAGGGACACCCCTGGTGTCCGTGTCCCCACTGTGTCCCCCATGCGAGGGGGATCTTTTTGGCCATGTCCCCTCTGTGTCCCCACGGTGTCCCCCATGTCTGGGGGATCTCTTTGGCTGTGTCCCCTCTGTGTCCCCATGGTGTCCCCCATGTCTGGGGGATCTCTTTGGCTGTGTCCCCCATGCGAGGGGGATCTCTTTGGCCGTGTCCCCTCTGTGTCCCCACGGTGTCCCCCATGTCTGGGGGATCTCTTTGGCTGTGTCCCCATGTCCCCCTGGGTGTCCCCCATGTCTGGGGGATCTCTTTGACCGTGTCCCCAGTGTGTGTCCCCATGTCCCCCCTGCCATGGTCCCTGTGTGGTCGTGTCCCCACATCCCTGCTGTGTCCCCCCATATCCCTCCCATGTCCCCTGTCTGTGGTCCCTGTCTGGCCGTGTCCCCACATCCCTTCTGTGTCCCCCAATGTCCCTGCCGTGTCCCCCCCGTGGGTGGTCCCTCTCTAACCGTGCCCCCATGTCCCTGTCCCCCCCACAGGAGGAGGGCTCGGGGGTCCCGGACCACTCCCAGCTGCGGCGCCAGGAGCTGCAGCCGGGCACGGCCTACAAGTTCCGCGTGGCGGGGCTGAACGCCTGCGGGCGCGGCCCCTTCTCCGAGCTGTCGGCCTTCAAAACCTGCCTGCCCGGCTTCCCCGGAGCGCCCTGCGCCATCAAAATCAGCAAGGTACCCAAAACAACCCAAAACAACACAAAATAACCCATCCCAACCCAACCCAACCCTGCCCGGCTTCCCCGGAGCGCCCTGCGCCATCAAAATCAGCAAGGTACCCAAAACAACCCAAAATAACCCATCCCAACCCAAAATAACCCAACACAACCCAAAATAACCCATCCCAACCCAACCCAACCCTGCCCGGCTTCCCCAGCGCCTCCTGCGCCATCAAAATCAGCAAGATATGGAGATCAAACCATGACATCAACCACAACCAACACAGCCCAACACAACCCAACCCAACTCAACACAGCCCAACACAGCCCAGCCCAGCCCAACTCAGCACAGCCCAACCCAACCCAACCCAACACAGCCCAACCCAACCCAACACAGCCCAACACAACCCAACCCAACCCAACACAGCCCAACCCAACCCAACACAACCCAACCCAACCCAACCCAGCCCAACCCAACCCAACACAGCCCAACTCAACCCAACACAACCCAATCCAACACAACCCAACACAGCCCAACACAACCCAACCCCAAACCAATACAACCCAACCCAACACAACCCAACCCAATACAACCCAACCCAACTCAACACAACCCAACCCAACACAACCCAACCCAATACAACCCAACAAAACCCAACTCAACCCAGCCCAACCCAACTCAACACAACCCAACCCAACACAACCCCAACCCAACCCAACACAACCCAACCCAACACAACGTAATCCAACCCAACCCAACCCTGCCCGGCTTTCCCATCCAGCCCTGACAGAGCCCACCTGACATGGGGGCTGTGCCCACCCTCCACCCCCACTCCCCCACTTCTCCCTCACCCCTACTGTCCCCACATGCCCCTGTTGCCCCCTGACCCCCATTTTTCCCCCAGAGCCCGGACGGGGCCCACCTGACGTGGGAGCCGCCGTCGGTGACGTCGGGGCGCATCGCGGAGTACTCGGTGTACTTGGCCATCCAGGGGGGGCCCGGGGGGGGCCCCGAGGCGCGGGGGGGGGCCCAGCTGGCCTTCATGCGGGTGTACTGCGGGCCCAGCCCCTCGTGCCTCGTGCCGGCCTCCAGCCTGGCCAGCGCCCACATCGACCACACCACCAAACCCGCCATCATCTTCCGCATCGCCGCCCGCAACGACAAGGGCTACGGCCCCGCCACCCAGGTGCGGTGGCTGCAAGGTGGGTCTGGGGGCTCTTCTGCACCTGGGGGGGCTGTGGGGGTGTGCACAGGGGGTGTGGGACCCCCTCAGTGTTGGGGATGGACCCCCACAGTCACAGGGGCTACGGCCCCGCCACCCAGGTGCGGTGGCTGCAAGGTGGGTCTGGGGCTGCCAGCTGGGGCTGGGGGCTCTGCTGCACCTGGGGGGGCCGTGGGACCCCCTCAGTATGGGGATAGACACCCACAGTCACAGGGGCTACGGCCCCGCCACCCAGGTGTGGTGGCTACAAGGTGGGTCTGGGGGCTGCCAGCTGGGTCTGGGGGCTGCAAGGTGGGTCTGGGGGCTGCAAGGTGGGGCTGGGGGCTGCCAGCTGGGTCTGGGGGCTGCAAGGTGGGTCTGGGGGCTGCCAGCTGCATCTGGGGGCACTGCTGCACCTGGGGGGGGCGTGGGACCCCCTCAGTATTGGGGGTGGACCCGCACAGTGACAAGGGCTACAGTCCCGCCACCCAGGTGCAGTGGCTGCAAGGTGGATCTGGGGGCTGCCAGCTGGGTCTGGGGGCTCTGCTGCACCTGGGGGGGCTGTGGGACCCCCTTAATGTGGGGATAGACACCCAGAGTAACAAGGGCTACGGCCCCACCACCCAGGTGCAGTGGCTGCAAGGTGGGTCTGGGGGCTCTGCTGCGCTAGGGGGCTCTGCTGCACCTGGGGGGGCTGTAGGACCCCCTCAGTGTTGGGGGTGGACCCCCACAGTCACAGGGGCTACGGCCCCGCCACCCAGGTGCGGTGGCTGCAAGGTGGGTCTGGGGGCTGCCAGCTGGGTCTGGGGGCTGCCAGGTGGGTCTGGGGGCTCTGCTGCACCTGGGGGGACCGTGGGACCCCCTCAGTGTTGGGGATGGACCCCCACAGTGACAACGGCTATGGCCCCGCCACCCAGGTGCGGTGGCTGCAAGGTGGGTCTGGGGGCTGCCAGCTGGGTCTGGGGGCTCTGCTGCACCTGGGGGGGGGCCGTGGGACCCCCTCGGTGTGGGGATGGACCCCCACAGTCCCAAGGACCCCACCCAGGTGTGGGGGCTGCAAGGTGGCTCTGGGGGCTGTGAGGGTGGGCACAGGGGGTGTGGGACCCCCTCAGTGTGGGTGTTGACACCCACAGTGACAGGGCTGTGGACAGTCCCCCCTCCCCCAGGTACCCTCCCCTGAGTACCTGGGACCCCTCCCCTTGGGGAACACCCCAGGGACCCCCACCTGAACGTCCCCCACCCCAAGGACCTGGGAGGCATTGGGGGTCCCCTGGCATGGGGGTTCCTCAGGGGTGGGGCAGGAGGATGGGGTGTCCTGACCCTCATTGACCCCCACCCCCAAATTTCCTTTATTCCCCCAGAGTCCAGCAGGGACGGATCCGCGGGAAACCCGGCAGCAAACGACCCCTCACCTCCCCAGACCTGTGAGTGGGGGCTCTGGGAGTCCTGGGGGTCTCTTGGGGGCCAAGGGGTTGATTTGGGGGTTGGGAGTCGGGGGCTGATTTGGGGGCCTAGGGACTGATTTTGGGGGCTTGGGGGCTTTGGGAACTCACTTGGAGAGCGTTGATTTGGGGGTGGGCGTGGGGGGCTGATTTGGGGAGTCTAGGGGCTCATTTTGGGGGCTTGGGGGCTTTGGGAACTCCAGGGGGCTGATGTAGGGGGCTGGGGGGTGATTTGGGGGGTCAGGACAGGGTGGGGCATCTCAGGGGGCTATTTTGGGGATCCAGTAGCTCGGGGGGGTCTTAGGGGGACCGTTTTGGGGTCCAGGAGCTGGGGGTTCAGGGGGCTGTTTGGGGTCCAGGAACTCAGGGGGCTTTTTGGGATCCAGGAGCTCAGGGGGCTATTTGGGGGTTCAGAACTGGGGGGAGTTTGGGGGGCTGTTTTGGGGGTCCAGGAGCTCAGGGGGCTATTTTGGGGTGCAGGAGCTCAGGGGGCTATTTTGGGGTGCAAGAACTCAGGGGGCTGTTTGGGGTCTGGGAACTCAGGGGGCTATTTTGGGGTCCAGGAGCTCAGGGGGCTATTTTGGGGTTCAGAACTGGGGGAGTTTGGGAGGGCTGTTTTGGGGGTCCATGAGCTCAGGGGGCTGGTTTGGGGTCCAGGGACTCAGGGGGGCTATTTTGGGGTCCAGGAGCTTAATGGGGACTGTTTTGGGGTCTGGGAACTCGGGGGGCTGTTTTGGGGTGCAAGGAACTCGGAAGGGGGCTATTTTGGGGTCCAGGAGCTTAATGGGGACTGTTTTGGGGTCTGGGAACTCCGGGGGCTGTTTTGGGGTCCAGAACCAGACCTGGGGGTCTCTTGGGAGATCTCCCCGTGACCCCCAATCTCCCCCTCCCCCAGGAAATCCGCTCCAAAGAAGCCCCAAGGCCGAAGGAGCAGTGAAGGACCCCTGGGACCCCCCAAAAAAACCTGCTCCTCCAGGACCCCCGACCCCGGGCGGGTTTGGGGGTGTCTGGGGGGGTTTGGGGGGTTAAAGTGTGGGGGAGGGGTCAAGGAGGGGGTGGGGGGCCCTTTTTTACCTGTTGCAGTTGCTGGAATGAAGTTTTGTACGAGCTGCCCCTCCCCACCCCGACCCCTCCCCCGACCCCTCCCCCAAAATAAACCCCACCCATCCCCCGGCCCCCCTCCCCCTGTACAGCCCCCGGGGTGGGGGGACCCCGATGTATCATAGTGGGGAGGGGGCGTGGGGGTCCCCTCCCTCTCCCCTCCCCCTCCCCTCCCCCCACCCGAGTGTTGTGTCCGTCGTTTTTGTGCTATTTTGAACAAAATTAAAAAGACATTTTTGGAGTAAAAATACAAAAACAAGGGAGTTTTGGGGTGGGGGGAGGGGGTTCTACACTGCAGGACCCCCACCCCCAAATTGGGGGCTCCTGTGCCTCGAGACCCCCAGGTGGAGGAGAGGAGCCTGTGGGGACCCCTTGGAGGGTCGTGGGGGCCGGGGGGCTCTGGATGGGGCTGAGGGGACCCCAGCGGGGGTCTTGGGGAGGGGGTGTTGGAGGGGCTCTGGAGACCCCAGAAGGGGGTATTGGGGGCTGAGGGGCTCTGGGGACCCCAAAGGGGGAGGGTGTGGGGGCAGATGGGGGGTTGTGGCTTCACCCACCTGGGACCCCAAACCCCGAGGATTCCCTCAAGAGACCACCCACCCCCAAAAAAACACAGGGGACCCTCCCCAACTCCCAGAACCCCAAACCACTGGGACCCCTCCCCAAACTCCCAAAATCACCAGAGAACCCCCAAACCACCCAGGACCCCTCTGGGACCCCCAGTGACCCTCCCAAACCCCAGGACCCCTCCAGGGAGCCTCCAACCCCCAAGGACCCCCTCAGTCCCCTCAAACCCCCTTCTCCAGCCCACCCAGCCCCCAAACCCCTCCATCACCCCCTAAACCCCCAAAACTCCATATGGGCCCCCAGACCCTCCCAATCCCCCATCGCCCCCTAACCCCCACGACAGAAGGAGCCACCAATGAAGCAGAACAAGTTTTTATTGGGGGGGCAGCTCGGACCCCTGAGGTGTTAAAAAATTAAAATAAAATAAAAAAAGGGAGGGGGAAGAAAAAGGAGGGGAGGGGATCCAAAATGGCGGCTGCGGTTGAGGGGGAGGGCCCTCCCGGAGGGGGAGGGGCGGCGTGAGGGGTGGGGGAGGGCGGTGGCAGAAAGGAGGAGGGGCGGTGAGAGGTGAGGGGGACCCCAAAAAGGGAAGCTCTCAAAATCGGGGGAGGGGAGGAGTGTTCCCAAACCTGGGGAGGGGTCCCCAAAATTTGGGAAGTGTGTTGGGGGTGTCCCCAACGTAGGGGAGGACACCCCGAAATTGGGACAGTCCCCAAAACCACAAGGGGTGTCATAAAGTCAGGGGTGTCCCCAAAACCAGCTTGGCATCCTCAAAGTTTGGGGGGGGTCCCCCAAATTTCAGGGGGTATCTCCAAAGTTCAGGGGTGACCTCAAACACAGGGGGGATTGTCCCCAAAGTTTTTTGGGGGGGGGGGTGGTCCCAGCCCCGGGGCAGGGAGAAAAGGTGATTTCAGAAGATTTTTGGGGCCCCCTCCGAGGCTTTTGAGGTGTCCCCAAATTTCAGGGGGGTTGTCCCCAGATTTCAGGGGGTGTCCCCAAACTTAGCAGGGTGACCCCAAACCCAGAGGGGGGGATGCCCCCAATGCCTGGGGAGGTCCCAGCAGGGACAAAAGGCGGTTTTGGAAGACTTGGGGTCCCTCCCTGACAATTTTGGGCTCCCCCCACCCAAGGATTTTGAGCTCCCCTGACGATTTTGGGGTCCTCCCTGAGGGTTTTGGGTTCCCCTGACAATTTTGGGCTCCCCCCACCCAAGGATTTTGAGCTCCCCTGATGATTTTGGGGTCATCCCCGAGGGTTTTGGGTTCCCCCCGAGGATTTTGGGCTCCCCTGACGATTTTGGGGTCCTCCCCGAGGGTTTTGGGGTCGTCCCCGAGGGTCTGGGGCCCCTCAGGGCACGGTGACGCGGAAGGGGCTGTTGGGGACGTGCTGGTCGCCCCACTTGACGACGAGCAGGTACTCCCCGCGCTCGCGCAGCAGGTAGCCCACGTTGTAGAGTTGGTTGCCCAGGTGCTTCACCACGATCTCCTCGCAGGGGTTTCGGGGGCCCTGCACCCCCACCAGCAGCATGTTGGTCCCTGCGGGGGGACACAAAGGAAGGAAAGGGAGGGGTCAGAGGGGGCACCCCGAAAAAGAAGGGGGGGGTTTGGGTGAGGGGCAACTGCTCGGGAGGGGGTTTGGGGGTTACCTGGGACCCCTTGGGGGGGATATGGGGGGACCATGGACACCTGGGACCCCTTGGGGGGATTTGGGGTACCTGGAACCCCTTAGGGGGATTTGGGGGCCATGGACACCTGGGACCCCTTAGGGGGATATGGGGGATCATGGGCACCTGGGACCCCTTGAGGGGGATTTGGGGGTACCTGGGACCCCTTCATGGAGGGGGATTTGGGGGCACCTGGGGGGGTGATTTCGGGGTACCTGGGACACGTGAGACATGTGGGGGGCACCTGGGGTGGGACACTGAGGGGCTCATGGACCCCTGGGACCCCTTGGGGGAGGATTTGGGGGGTCCTGGGCACCTGGGGGGCACCTGGATAGCTGGGACCCCTTGCGGGGGAATTTGGGGGGCACCTGGGACCCCTTGGGAGGAATCTGGAGGGTACCTGGAACCCTTTGTGGGTACCTGGGACCCCTTGGGGTGGGGGCTGGGGAGGTGCCGGACCCCTGGGGGGTCCCTGGGGGGGTTCAGTGCCCGGGCAGGGGGTGGGGGGTGGGCACCCACCGGCCTTGCTGCAGTCCACGGTGAAGGAATTCTTCTGGCCCACGAAGCCCTTGCTGAGCCCCAGCCCTTTGGCCACCACCTTGGAGGCGTCCGAGAACTTGGGGGGCCCCCCCGGGGGGGCTCCCCCGGGGCTGGGGGCGCTCGTGGCCCCCCCGTGCTCGGCCCGGATCCCCCCGGAATCCACGAGCACCGAGGAGCTCTCGTGGGGGCTGTGGCTGCTCACCAGGCGAGGCCCTGGGGGGACACCCCAAAATTAACCCCCCTGAACCCAAAATTAACCCCCCTGAACCCCAAATTACAGCCCTGAACCCCAAAATCACAGCCCAGCCCCCCCAGAACAGAGGAGCTCTCGTGGGGGCTGTGGCTGCTCACCAGGCGGGGCCCTGGGGGACACCCCAAATTAACCCCCCTGAAATTACAGCCCTGAACCCAAAATTAACCCCCCTAAACCCAAATTACAGCCCTGAACCCCAAAATCACAGCCCTGCCCCCCAGCACCGAGGAGCTCTCGCAGAGGCTGTGGCTGCTCAACGGGGAGGGCCCTGGGGGGACACCCCAAAATTAACACCCCTGAGCCCCAAAATTACAGACCTGAACCCCAAATTACACCCTGAATCCCAAATAAACAGCCCTGAAACCCAAAATCACAGCCCTGTACCCCAAACCGCCCCAAATCCCCCTAAACCCCCCAACCCCCCCCTCACCAGTGATCTTGGCCTTGAAGGGGCTGCCCATGATGTGGTGGGGACCCCATAACCCCCCTTGAACCCCCCCATAACCCCCCCAAATCCCCAAACCCCCTCTCACCGGTGATCTTGGCCTTGAAGGGGCTGCCCACGATGTGGTGGGGCCCCCCGAATTTGATGGTGATGAGGTAACTGCCGGGGGCCATGGGCGTGTAGGTGACCCTGAAGCCCTCGGGGCACTCGTGGCACTCCATGGTCACCTTGGAGGGGCCCTCGATGGTCACGGCCAGAGCCCCCGGGCCAGCCTTGGACGTGTTCACCACGAACTCCGCCGGGGAGCCTGGGCAGGGGGCACACAGGGGTCAGGGACCCCCCCAGAGGGACCCCAACCCCACAGAGGGGTCAGGGACACTCCCAGAGAGACCCCAACCCCATAGAGGGGTCAGGGACACCCCCAGAGGGACCCCGATCCCACAGAGAGACCCCAATCCCACAGAGGGACCCCCAATCCCCTAGAGGGACCCCGATCCCACAGAGGGGTCAGGGACCCCCACAGAGAGACCCCGGACCCCACAGAGAGACCCCAACCCCACAGAGGGGTCAGGAACGCCCCCAGAGGGACCCAGAACCACCCAGAGAGACCCCAACCCCACAGATGGATCCCAAACCCCATAGAAGGATCTCAATCCTACAGAGGGATCCCAACCCCACAAAGGGATCCCAACCCCACAGAGGGACCCCAAACCCTCCAGAGGGCCCCCAATCCCATGGGGGGTTTATCCAGAACCCCTCTGGGACCCCCCAGGCCCACCCTGGTCGTGTTCAACACGAACTCCACAGGGAGGCCTGGGCATGGGGGGGGGCACAGGTCTCCAGCCTGTCCCCCATCCCCCTGTGCCCCCCATATCCCAGTGCCCCCATCTCCAGGTACCTCCCAGTGCCCCCCATCCCCTGGTACCCCTCAGTGTCCCCCATACCTGTGGTGTCCCCCTCGAGGCCAGGCCCGTAGGCTGACACCAGCCTGGGGTCTGTCCCAGTCCCCCCATATCTCAGTGCCCCCCATCCCCAGTGCCCCCCATCCCCAGTGCCCCCCATCCCCTGGTACCCCTCAGTGTCCCCCATACCTGTGGTGCCCCCCTCGAGGCCGGGCCCATAGGCTGACACCAGCCCAGGGTCTGTCCCGGCCCCCCATATCCCAGTGCCCCCATCCCCCTGTACCCCCCGTGCCCCCATCCCTGTGGTGCCCCCATACCTGTGGTGCCCCCATACCTGTGGTGCCCCCATCCCTGTGGTGCCCCCTCAATGCCCCCCATCCCTGTGGTGCCCCCTCAGTGCCCCCATCCCTGTACCCCCATACCTGTGGTGCCCCCTCGAGGCCAGGCCCATAGGCTGACACCAGCCCAGGGTCTGTCCCGGTCCCATGTGCCCCCATATCCCATTGACCCCCATACCCTGTACCCCTCAGTGCCCCCTCAATGCCCCCCATCCCTGGTAGCCCCCATACCTGTGGTGCCCCCTCGAGGCCAGGCCCATAGGCTGACACCAGCCCGGGGTCTGTCCTGGTCCCCCATCCCCTGTACCCCCAGTGCCCCCCTCAATGCCCCCATCCCTGTACCCCCATACCTGTGGTGCCCCCTCAATGCCCCCATACCTGTGGTGCCCCCTCGAGGCCCGGTCCATAGGCTGACACCAGCCGGGGTCTGTCCCGGCCCCCTGTGCCCCCCATCCCTGTGGTGCCCCCTCAATGCCCCCATCCCTGTACCCCCATACCTGTGGTGCCCCCTCGAGGCCAGGCCCATAGGCTGACACCAGCCTGGGGTCTGTCCCAGTCCCCCATATCCCAGTGCCCCCATCCCCTGTACCCCCTCAATGCCCCCATCCCCTGGTAGCCCCCATACCTGTGGTGCCCCCTCGAGGCCAGGCCCATAGGCTGACACCAGCCCAGGGTCTGTCCCAGTCCCTCCATACCCCCATATCCCAGTGCCCCCATCCCCTGTACCCCCAGTGCCCCCTCAATGCCCCCATCCCTGGTAGCCCCCATACCTGTGGTGCCCCCTCGAGGCCAGGCCCATAAGCTGACACCAGCCCGGGGTCTGTCCGGTCCCCCATATCCCAGTGCCCCCATCCCTGTGCCCCCATACCCTGTACCCCTCAGTGCCCCCATCCCCTGTACCCCCCTACCTGTGGTGCCCCCTCAATGCCCCCATCCCTGTGGTGCCCCCCTCAATGCCCCCATACCTGTGGTGCCCCCATACCTGTGGTGCCCCCTCAATGCCCCCATACCTGTGGTGCCCCCCTCGAGGCCAGGCCCATAGGCTGACACCAGCCCGGGGTCTGTCCCAGTCCCTCCATACCCCCCATATCCCAGTGCCCCCCATCCCTGTGGTGCCCCCCTCAATGCCCCCATACCTGTGGTGCCCCCATACCTGTGGTGCCCCCCTCGAGGCCAGGCCCATAGGCTGACACCAGCCCGGGGTCCCCGGCCTGTCCCGGGTCCCCCACGCGGACCTTGAAGGGGCTGCCCGGGATGTGCGAGCCCTCGAACTTCACGTCGATGGAGTAGACGCCGTTCTCCCGCGGGATGAACCGCACGGCGTACTTGTCTGGGGGGATGGGGGGAGAGAGGAGGTCAGGGGACCCCAAAATCCCACACTGACCCCCCAAAATCCCGCACTGATCCCCCTGAGCCCCCCAAAACCTGCACTGACCCCACACAAACCCACCCGCAAAAACCCCACGGGATGAACCGCACGGAGTACTTGTCTGGGGGGAGAGGGGGGTCAGGGGACCCCAAAATCCCACACTGACCCCCCAAAATCCCATCCTGACCCCACTGAGACTCCTGAGCCTCCCAAAACCTGCACTGATCCCACACAGCCCCCCCAGACCCCGCGGGATGAACCGCACGGCGTACTTGTCTGGGGGGAGAGGGGGGTCAGGGGACCCCAAAATCCTGTACAGACCCCCCCTGAGCCTCCTGAGCCCCCCAAAATCTGCACCAATCCCACAGAGTCCCCCCCAAAAATACCCGTGGGATGAACTGCACGGCAGACTTGTCTGGGGGGAGAGGGGGGTCAGGGGGACCCCAAAATCCCACAATGACCCCCCAAAATCCTGCACTGACCCCCCCTGAGCCCCCCAAACCTGCACTGACCTCATAGAACCCCCCCAGACCCCGTGGGATAAACCACATGGCGTACTTGTCTAGGGGGAGAGGGGGGTCAGGGGGACCCCAAAATCCTGCACAGACCCCCCCTGACCCCCCCAAAACCTGCACTGACCCCACACAGCCCCCCAAAACCTGCACTGATCCCACAGAGCCCCCCAAAACCTGCACTGATCCCACAGAGCCCCCCCAAGACCCCGTGGGATGAACCACACAGTGGACTTGTCTGGGGGGAGAGGGGGGACCCCAAAATCCTGCACTGACCCCCCAAAATCCCACACTGACCCCACTGAAGGGGTCCCTCAGGTTTTTGGGGTGTCCCCTCACCTTCAGTGACCTCGGAGATGTGACACAGCCCCACAGCTCCCGAGGGACTGTGCCCTTTGGGGTGGGGACGGGGCAGGATTTGGGGATTCCCAGAGGGACGGGGCAGGTTTTGGGGTGTCCCTGTGGGACAGGGCAGGTTTTGGGGTGTCCTGGGGGTGTCCCCTCACCTTCAGTGACCTCGGAGATGTGACACTCCTCCACAGCTCCCGAGGGACTGTGCCCTTTGGGGTGGGGACGGAGCAGGATTCGGGGTCTCCTCTGGGGCCGTGGGGATTCCCAGAGGGACGGGGCAGGTTTTGGGGACTGGGGCAGTTTTTGGGGTGTCCCTGTGGGACAGGGCAGGTTTTGGGGTGTCCCCTCACCTTCAGTGACCTCAGAGATGTGACACAGCCCCACAGCTCCCAAGGGACTGTGCCCTTTGGGGTGGGGACGGGGCAGGATTTGGGGATTCCCACAGGGACGGGGCAGGTTTTGGGGTGTCCCTGAGGGACGGGGTAGGTTTTGGGGTGTCCCTGTGGGACAGGGCAGGTTTTTGGGGTGTCCCCTCACCTTCAGTGACCTCGGAGATGTGACACTCCTCCACAGCTCCCGAGGGACTGTGCCCTTTGGGGTGGGGACGAGGCAGGATTTGGGGATTCCCAGAGGGACGGGGCAGGTTTTGGGGATCCCTGGGGCAGTTTTTGGGGTGTCCCTGTGGGACAGGGCAGGTTTTTGGGGTGACCCCTCACCTTCAGTGACCTCGGAGATGTGACACTCCTCCACAGCTCCCGAGGGACTGTGCACTTTGGGGTGGGGACGGGGCAGGATTCGGGGATTCCCAGAGGGACGGGGCAGGTTTTGGGGACTGGGGCAGTTTTTGGGGTATCCCTGTGGGACAGGGCAGGTTTTGGGGTGTCCTGGGGGTGTCCCCTCACCTTCAGTGACCTCGGAGATGTGACACTCCTCCACAGCTCCCGAGGGACTGTGCACTTTGGCGTCCAGGGTGCCCTTGGCCCCGTTGAGGCTGACGGCGAACGAGGCCGGCTGGTGCACCTTGAGCCCCGACTCCTGGGGGGGGGACACGTCAGCCCCCACCCCGGGGGGACCCCCGGGCCGGGCAGGGACCCCCAAACCCGGGCAGGACCCCCAAACCCGGGGTAGGATCCCCAAAGAGCGGGGAGAGCCCCCAGCCCCCACCCCAGAACAGCCCTCGGGGACCCCCAAGTGCAGCCCCGACCCCCAGCCTAGGTGGTCTCAGGGGGGAATTTAGGGACCCCCACCCCCCCAAAAAGGATCTGAGGGGGGTCCTGCACCCCAAAATCTGAGGGGGGGGTGTTTATGGCAGTTATCCCACCCTGAGTAACCTGGAAAACCCCAAAATCTTTACCCTGAGAAAGCCCAGGGGGGGAGAACACCCCCCAAAAACACCCCCACCCCAAAAATATTTTGGGGGAGGACCCCAAAACTCTCACCCCAAAAATTCAGGGGGAAGGGGAGAAAGAACATGCCCCAAAACCCACCCCCCCTACACCAAAAAGATTTTGGGGTGGGATCCCAAAATTCTCCACCCCATAAATTCAAGGGGGAGAGGGGTGGATACCCCCAAACCCCCCCCATGCCCCAAATAATTTTGGGGTGGGACTCCAAAATTCTCACCCCAAAAATTGGGGAGTTGGGGTGGATAGCCCCAAATCTCCATCCCAAATATTTTAAGGGGGTGGAGACCCCCAAATCCTCACCCCAAAAACCTCGGGGGTGGGACCCCAAAATTCTCACCCTAAAAATTATGGGAGGAGGGGGGTGAATACCCCCAAAACGCCCCCATCCCAAATAATTTTGGGGTGGGGTCCCAAAATTCTCCACCCCAAAAATTCAGGGGGGAGGGGGGGTGGGATGGATACCCCCAAATCCTCACCCCAAATACCCCGGGGGGGAGGATTCACCCCAAAAATAAAAACACCCTTGGGGGGGGGCTCTGAACCCCAAATTCTCCCCTCCCCCCAGGAGGGATCTGCACCCCAAAATCCACACCTGGGCAGGGGGAAACCCCCCCCCAACCAACCCTGGGGAGACCCCAACCCCAAAACACCGAGGGTGCCCTGATTTTGGGGTTTGGGGGGTCCCCAGAGGGAGGGGGGGGGATATTTGGGGGGTCCCCACTTACCTGGGGGGCTGGGGGGTTTAGCGAGGGCGGCGGGGGCCCGGGCACCCGAGGTGGGGGCAGGGGTTGGGGGGGCCCCGCTGGGCCCCGTTAAAGCCCCCCCAGCCCTGGGGGGCTGTTCAATAGCCTTTATCAGAGACACGGGACAGACCCCGGCCCACCCGCCTGGGGGGCAGGGCCAGCGCAGGCACCCCCAAATCTGAGCCCTGAACCCCGAAAACTGAGACCTGAACCCCAAAAAACTGAGCCCTGAACCCCGAAAACTGAGCCCAGAACCCCCAAAACTGAGATCTGAACCCCAAAAACTGAGCCTTGAACCCCGAAAACTGAGCCTTGAACCCCGAAATCTGAGCCCAGAACCCTGAAAACTGAGCCCTGAACCCCAAAAACTGAGCTCTGAACCCCAAAAACTGAGCTCTGAACCCCAAAAACTGAGTCCTGAACCCAAAAAACTGCTCTGAACCCCAAAAACTGAGCCCAGAACCCCAAAAACTGAGATCTGAACCCAAAAACTGAGCCCAGAACCCCAAAAACTGAGCTCTGAACCCAAAAACTGAGCCCTGAACCCCAAAAACTGAGCTCTGAACACCAAAAAACTGAGCCCTGAACTGTGAAAACTGAGCCCTGAACCCCAAAAACTGAGATCTGAACCCAAAAAACTGAGCTCTGAACCCAAAAACCTGGTACTGACACAAAAAACTGAGCTCTGAACCCCAAAAACTGAGCCCTGAACCCAAAAAACTGAGCTCTGAACCCTGAAAACTGAGCTCCTGTCACTCTCCTGTCCCCCTAAACCCCCTCCTATAATTCCCCTGTCCCCCCAAACCCCTCCTGTCACTCCCCTGTCCCCCCTAAATCCCCTCCTGTCACTCCCTGTCCCCCTAACCCCCTAAGCCCCCTCCTGTCCTCCTGTTCCCCCAAACCCCCTCCTGTCCCCCTAAATCCCCCAAGCCCCTCCTGTCACTCCCTGTCCCCTAAACCCCCTCCTATCACTCCCTGTCCCCCTAACCCCTCTAGGTCCTTTCCTGTCACTCCCCTGTCCCCCATATCACCCCCAAACCCCCTCCTGTCACTCCCTGTCCCCCAAACCCCTCCTGTCCTCCCTGTCCCCCCAACCCCCCTAACCCCCCTCCCCCGGTGGGTGCTGCGCTGGCCGAGCCCCCCGGGCGGGGTGGGCGCTGTGGGGTCCGCGGGTGCCTCACCTGAAGGCTACAAACAGTGAGGCGTCGAGCGGCGTCGCAGGGCGCGGCCGCCGTCACCACGAACGGGCTCTCGGGCACGTGCTCCTCGTTGAACTTCACCGACACCTCGTAGTCCCCTGAGGGGGCAGCGGGGTCAGGGAGACATCCAAGAGATCCCACAGAGACCCCACAGAGACCCCAGAGACCCCACAGAGACCCCCAAATCCACTCTGGGGGACAGCGGGGTCAGGGGGACACTGAGACCCCCTAGAGACATCCAGAGACCCCCAGAGATCCCTGAACCCACCGTGTGATACAGCGGGGTCAGGGGGGGCACTGAGACCCACAGAGACCCCACAGACACCCAGAGACCCCCCCAGAGACCCCCAAATCCACCCTGGGGGGCAGCGGGGTCAGGGGGGGCACTGAGACCCCCTAGAAATTCCACAGAGACCCCACAGAGACACCCAGAGACCCTCAGAGACCCCCAGAGATCCCTGAACCCACCCTGTGATTCAGCGGGGTCAGGGGGGGCACTGAGACCCACAGAGACCCCACAGAGACCCCACAGACACCCAGAGACCCCCCCAGAGACCCCCAAATCCACCCTGGGGGGCAGCGGGGTCAGGGGGGGCACTGAGACCCCCTAGAGATCCCACAGAGACCCCACAGAGACACCCAGAGACCCCCAAATCCACTCTGGGGGACAGCAGGGTCAGGGGGGGCACTGAGACACCCCAGAGACCTCACAAAGACAGTCAGAGACCCCACAGAGACCCCCCAAATCCACCCTGGGGGGCAGCACGGTCAGGGGGGCACTGAGACCCCCTAGAGACATCCAGAGACCCCCAGAGATCCCTGAACCCACCGTGTGATACAGCGGGGTCAGGGGGGGCACTGAGACTCACAGAGACTCCCCAGAGACCCCCCCAGAGACCCCCAAATCCACCCTGGGGGACAGCATGGGCAGGGGGGGCACTGAGACACCCAGAAACCCCCCCAGAGACCCCCAAATCCACCCTCAGGGACAGCAGGGTGGGGTGGGGACACAGAGATCCCCCCCCCAAAATCCTCCCAGACCCCCCCTAAAATCCCCCGCGCCCCCCCGGCCCCTCACCGGGTTCCTGCACCACGTAGGAGACCCCGCAGGAGCCGTCCTTGCGGTCCTCGAAGGCGATCTCGGCCTTGCTGGGCCCCTCCACGGCGATGGAGAGACCCCCAGCCCCTGCCTCACGTGTCCAGATGCTGAACTCGGCTGGGGGAGGGGAAAACGGGGGGGTCAGGGCACCCCAAAAGGGGCTGAGACCCCCAAAACCACCCCAGAATGCCCCAAAACCGCCCCGGAACTCCCTGATCCAGGGAAAGCCCCTCAAATCCCTCCCTGTGATGGAGAGACCCCCAGACCTCATTTTGTACATCCAGATGTTGAATTTGGTTGAGGGGGTGGGAAAAAGGGGGGGTCAGGGCACCCCAAAAGGGGCTGAGACCCCCAAAACCACCCCAGAATGCCCCAAAACCGCCCCGGAACTCCCTGATGCAGGGAAAGCCCCTCAAAGCCCCCCCATGTGATGGAAAGACCCCTCAGCCCCAGCTCTGTGGGTCCAGATGCTGAAATTGGCTGGGGGAGGGGAAAAAGGGGGGGTCAGGGCACCCCAAAAGGGGCTGAGACCCCCAAAACCACCCCAGAATGCCCCAAAACCGCCCTGGAACCCCTAAAACTGCCCCAGAACCCCCCGATCCAGGGGAAGCCCCTCAAATCCCTCCCTGACCCCCAGACCCCATTCTGTACACCCAGATGTTGAATTTGGTTGGGGGGGTGGGAAAAGGGGGGGGGTCAGGGCACCCCAAAAGGGGCTGAGACCCCCAAAACCACCCCAGAATGCCCCCAAACTGAGATACCCAGAGAGACCCCTGTTCCCAGCCTGCAAAATCCAGATGTGTTTGGGGTGCCCTGAGTCAGGTTTTAGGGTACCCTGGTCGATTTTGGGGGGGTGTCCCAGGTCAGTTTTGGGGTGTCTCAGTTCAGTTTTAGGGTCCCCAGGTCATTTTTGGGGTGTCCCAGCCCAGTTTCGGGGTCGTTTTGGGGCTCTCACCTGGCACTCCATCCTTGGTGCCCTCCAGCCCTGGGGCAGGTTTGGAGTGCCCGGGGTCAGTTTTTGGGGTGACCTGGCCATTTTTAGGATGCCCTGGTCATTTCTGGGGTGTCCCAGCTCAGTTTTAGGGTCTCCATCTCAGTTTTAGGGTCCCCAGGTCATTTTTGGGGTGTCCCAGGCCATTTTTGGGGTCATTTGGGGTTCTCACCTGGCACCCCGGCCTCGGTGCCCTCCAGCCCTGGGGTAGGTTTGGGGTGCCCGGGGTCAGTTTTTGGGGTGACCTGACCATTTCTGGGGTGTCCCAGCTCAGTTTTAGGGTCCCCAGGTCATTTTTGGGGTGTCCCAGCCCATTTCTGGGGTGTCCCAGCTCAGTTTTAGGGTCCCTAGGTCATTTCTGGGGTGTCCCAGCCCATTTTTGGGGTGTCCCAGCCCATTTTTGGGGCTCTCACCTGGCACCCCGGCCTCGGCACGCTCCAGCCCCAGGGCAGGTTTTGGGTGCCCGGGGTCAGTTTTTGGGGTGACCTGGTCATTTCTGGGGTGTCCCAGCTCAGTTTTAGGGTCCCAAGGTCATTTTTGGGGTGTCCCAGCCCATTTTTGGGGTGTCCCAGGCCATTTTTGGGGTCATTTGGGGCTCTCACCTGGCACTCCACCCTTGGTGCCCTCCAGCCCCAGGGCAGGTTTGGGGTGCCTGGGGTCAGTTTTTGGGGTGACCTGGCCATTTTTAGGACACCTTGACCATTTCTGGGGTGTCCCAGCTCAGTTTTAGGGTCCCCAGGTCATTTTTGGGGTGTCCCAGGTCATTTTTGGGGTCGTTTGGGAGTTCTCACCTGGCACCACGGCCTCGGCGCGCTCCAGCCCCGGGGCAGGTTTGGGGTGCCCGGGGTCAGTTTTTGGGGTGACCTGGCCATTTCTGGGGTGTCCCAGCCCATTTCTGGGGTGTCCCAGCCCATTTTTGGGGTGTCCCAGGTGATTTTTGGGGTCATTTGGGGCTCTCACCTGGCACCCCGGCCTCGGCGCGCTCCAGCCCGGGCCCCCCGGCGCGGACCTTGTGGGCGCCGCCCTCGCCCAGGGGTCCCACGGTGAACTGGAAGGGGCTCCCTGGCACGTGCTGCCCGCGGTCCTTGACGCTCACCGAGTGGGGTCCCGTCTCCTGGGGCACGAAACGCACCCCGAAAGCGCCCGGGGTGTCCCCGGCCACCACCTGGGCCGGCACCGCCTGCCCCGAGGGCCCCGCCACCTGCGCCGTCACCTCCGCCACGCTCAGCTCTGGGGGGGACAGAGGGTTATTGGGGGTTATTGGGGGTCAGGGGGTTATTTGGGGGCTCAGGGGGTCACGGGGGGTACAGGGATCCCCCAGACCCCCCGAGGGCCCCGCCACCTGCGCCATCACCTCCGCCACGCTCAGCTCTGGGGGGACAGGGGGTTATTGGGGGCTCAGGGGGTTATTGGGGGCCCAGGGAGTCACAGGGGTTATTGGGGGCTCAGGGGTTATTGGGGGTTATTGGGGGCTCAGAGGGTTATTGGGGGACAGGGGGTTATTGGGGGACAGGGATCCCCAGACCCCTTGAGGGCCCCACCACCTGCGCCGTCACCTCTGCCACGCTCAGCTCTGGGGGACAGGGGGTTGTTGGGGGCTCAGGGGGTTGTGGGGGGACAGGGATCCCCAAACCCCCGAGGGCCCCGCCACCTGCGCCGTCACCTCTGCCATGCTCAGCTCTGGGGGCACAGGGGTTATTGGGGGCTCAGGGAGTCACAGGGGGTTATTGGGGGCTCAGGGGGTTATTGGGGGCACAGGGGTAGTTGGGGGCTCAGGGGTTATTGGGGGCTCAGGGGTTATTGGGGGGTTACAGGAATCCCCCAGACCCCCCTTGAGGACCCCACCACCTGCGCCGTCACCTCCGCCACGCTCAGCTCTGGGGGACAGGGGTTATTGGGGGCTCAGGGGCCACAGGGGGTTCAGAGGGTTATTGGGGGCTCAGAGGGTTATTTGAGGGCTCAGGGGGTCACTGGGGGGACAGGGGGTCACTGGGGTTATTGGGGGCTCAGGGGTTGCTGGGGGACAGGGGGTTATTGGGGGACAGGGATCCCCCAGACCCCCTCGAGGGCCCCGCCACCTGCGCCGTCACCTCCGCCCTGCTCAGCTCTGTGGGGACAGGGGGTTATTGGGGGGACAGGGAGTCACAGGGGGTTATTGGGGGGCTCAGGGGGTTATTAGGGGCTCAGGGGGTCACAGGGGGGACAGGGATCCCAGACCCCCGACCTGCGCTGTCACCTCCACCATGCTCAGCTCTGGGGGGCACGGTGGGGACACAGGGGTTATTGGGGGCTCAGGGGGTCACTGGGGGCTCAGGGGGTATTGGGGGTTCAGGGGGTTATTGAGGGGCTCAGGGGGTCACTGGGGCACTCAACGGGTTATTGGGGGGACAAGGGGGTTATTTAGGGGGTACAAGGATCCTTCTGTACCTGAGGGGACCTCTGGGGGGCTTTGGGGACCCTTCTGTCTCTAGGGGGATCCCTCTATTTCTGGGGGTCGTTGCATGTCCCCACTCTGTCCCACGAGGGGCTTCGGGGGACCCTCAGGACTCCCTGAGGACACTCAGGACCCCCCTGGGAAGCTCAGGGACCCCCCCCAGACACTCAGGACCCTCTGAGGACACTCAGGACCCCCCTGGGAAGCTCAGAGACCCCCGCCCAGGCCCCCCCCAGACCCCTCACCAGGCATTTTGAGGCTGAGGTCGCAGGGGGACCCCACGGTGGCCTCGGGGGCCCTGCGGCGCCGGGTGATGCTCTCGCGGACCCGGCCCTCGCCCGTCACCTTCACCGAGAACGGGCTCCCTGGGGGGGCAAGGGGGGGTCACAGGGGGGCCTCAAACCCCCCTGAACCCCTACAGGGACCCCTGAACCTCCTACCCCACCCAGCACCCCCAAACCCTGCAGGGACCCCCAAACCCCCACCCCACCCAGCACCGGATCCTCCCCCGACCCATTACCTTCACCAAGAAGGGGCTCCTGGGGGCAAGGGGGTCACAGAGGGTCCTCAAACCCCCTGAACCCCTGTAGGGACCCCCGGACCTCCTACCCCACCCAGCATTCCCCAAATCCCTGCAGGGACCCCAAACCCCCCACCCCACCCAGCACCGGATCCTCCCCACCCGTCACCTTCACCAAGAAGAGGCTCCTGGGGGGCAAGAGGGTCACAGGGGGCCCCAAACCCCTGCAGGGACCCCCAGACCTCCTAACCCACCCAGCATTCCCCAAATCCCTGCAGGGACCCCCAAACCCCCACCCCACCCAGCACCAGAACCCCCTCGCCCGTCACCTTCACCGAGAACGGGCTCCTGGGGGCAAGGGGGAGTACAGGGGTCCCCAAACTCCCTGAACCCCTACAGGGACCCCTGAACCTCCTACCCCACCCAGCATTCCCCAAATCCCTGCAGGGACCCCCAAACCCCTCACAGCACCCCCAAACCTCCTAACCCACCCAGCACCCCCAAACCCCAAACTCCCCCACCCCAAAGCCTTCCCGGGACCCCAAACCAGCCCCCAGTGCTCCCAATCCCCTCCCAGTGCCCCTCCCAGTGTCCCCAGTCTCCCCCAGTGCCCCTCCCAGTGCCCCCAGTATCCCTCCCTGTCCTCCCAGTGCCCCTCCTCATCCCTCCCAGTCCTTCCCCCAGTTCTCCCAGTGCCCCTCCCAGTGCTCCCAGCCCCTCCCACTGCCCCTCCCAGTGCCCTCCCAGTGCTCCCAGCCCCTCCCACTGCCCTCCCAGTGCTCCCAGCCCCTCCCCATCCCTTCCAGTTCCCTCCAGTCCCTCCCAGTGCCCCTCCCAGTGCTCCCAGCCCCTCCACTGCCCCTCCCAGTGCTCCCAGCCCTCCCAGTGCCTCCCAGTGCGCACCGGGCACGTGCTGGTCCCGAGTTGTGACGGAGATGATGTAGTTGCCGGGCTCGGTGGGGCAGTAGGACACGCTGCACGTCCCGTCCTCCAACTCCTCCGTCGTGATGTCCACCTTGCTGGGCCCCTCGATGGACAGGCTGAGCCCCCCGTACCCTGGGGGGGTGGGCAAGGTCAGCAGGGACCCCCAAACCACCCCCTGGATGGACAGGCTGAGCCCCCGTGCCCTGGGGGTGGGCAAGGTCAGCAGGGACCCCCAAACCCCCAATCCCCTGGATGGACAGGCTGAGCCCCTGTACCCTGGGGTGGAGCTCAGCAGGACCCCAAACCTCAGTCAGCAGGACCCCAAACCCCCTGCAGGGTCAGCAGGGACCTCCAAACCCCCTGCAGGGTCAGCAGGGACCTCCAAACCCCCCAATCCCCCCTGGATGGACAGGCTGAGCCCCCCGTACCCTGGGGGGGTGGGCAGGGTCAGCAGGGACCCCCAAACCCCCCAATCCCCCCTGGATGGACAGGCTGAGCCCCCCGTACCCTGGGGGGGTGGGCATGGTCAGCAGGGACCCCCAAATTCCCTACAGGCTCAGCAGGGACCCCCAAATTCCCTGAAGGGTCAGCAGGGACCCCTGGGACCCCCAGGCCCCCCATAACTGTGTCCCTGATGTCAATGGGGGCTGGAAGGTGCCCCCAGACCCCCTCAGGACCCCCCAGATTCCCCCCAGGACCCTGTACGTGCGTCTCAAGTGTCGATGGTGAAGTGGGCGGGCTGGAAGGTGCCCCCAGGAGACGCTCAGACCCCCAGACCCCCCCAGCTCCCCTAAATCCCCCGTACCTGCGTCCCGGGTGTCAATGGTGAAGTGGGCGGGCTGGAAGGTGCACCCAGACCCCCAGACCACCCCAGGACCCCCAGGACCCCCAGGACCCTATACCTGCGTCCCGGGTGTCGATGGTGAAGTGGGCGGGCTGGAAGGTGACCTCAGACCCCCAGCCCCCTAAATCCCCTGTACCTGCGTCCCGGGTGTCGATGGTGAAGTGGGCGGGCTGGAAGGTGACCCCAGACCCCCAGGACCCCAAAGACCCCCAGGACCCCCAGGACCCCGTACCTGCATCCCGGGTGTCGATGGTGAAGTGGGTGGGCTGGAAGGTGCCCCCAGACCCCACCAGACCCCCTAGGACCCCCAGACCCCCAGGACCCGTGCCTGCGTCCCGGGTGTCGATGGTGAAGTGGGCGGGCTGGAAGGTGCCCCAGGAGACCCCAGGATCCCCCAGGACCCCAAAGACCCCCAGCCCCCTAAATCCCCCGTACCTGCGTCCCGGGTGTCGATGGTGAAGTGGGCGGGCTGGAAGGTCCTCCCCTCGCGCAGCCCCGGCCCGGTCAGGACCACCCTGCTGGCGTCGCCCAGCTCGGCCTGGCTGATGGTGACGGCGATGGGGCTGCGGGGCAGGGGCTGCCCCCCCCGGAACACGTGCACCAGGTGCTCCCCCACCTCCCGGGGCACGAACGAGATCCCTGCGGGGACAATGGGGACATTGGGGACATTTGGGGACATTTGGGGACATTGGGGGACAATGGGGACATTGGGGCTGCGGGGCAGGGGCTGCCCCCCCCGGAACACGTGCACCAGGTGCTCCCCCACCTCCCGGGGCACGAACGAGATCCCTGCGGGGACAATGGGGACATTGGGGGGATATTGGGGGCATTGGGGACATTGGGGACATGGGGCAGGGGCTGCCCCCCCCGGAACACGTGCACCAGGTGCTCCCCCACCTCCCTGGGCACGAACGAGATCCCTGCGGGGACAATGGGGACATTGGGGACATCTGGGGGGACACTGGGGACATGGGGGACATTGGGGACACAGGGGACACTGGGGATACTGGGACAATGGGGACACTGGGGGCATTGGGGACATGGGGGACATTGGGGACACGGGGCAGGGGCTGCCCCCCCCGGAACACATGAACCAGGTGCTCCCCCACCTCCCGGGGCACGAACGAGATCCCTGCGGGGACAATGGGGACATTGGGGGGATTGGGGACATGGGGGACATTGGGGACATTGGGGGGATTGGGGACATTGGGGACATTGGGGACAATGGGGACATTGGGGACACTGGGGACATTTGGGGACATTGGGGACACGTGGCAGGGGCCCCCCCTGGAACACGTGCACCAGGTGCTCCCCCACCTCCTGGGGCACGAACGAGATCCCTGCGGGGACACAGGGGACACTGGGGACACTGGGGACAATGGGGACATTGGGGTGATATTGGGGGCATTGGGGACATTGGGGACACGGGACAGGGGCTGCCCCCCCCGGAACACGTGCACCAGGTGCTCCCCCACCTCCCGGGGCACGAATGAGATCCCTGCGGGGACAATGGGGACATTGGGGACACTGGGGACATTGGGGACGTTGGGGACATTGGGGGGGACAATGGGGACATTGGGGACACTGGGGACATCAGGGACATTGGGGACACTGGGGGCATTGGGGACATTTGGGGGGACAATGGGGACAATGGGGACATTGGGGACACAATGGGGACAATGGGGACAATGGGGGCATTGGGGACATTTGGGGGGACAATGGGGACAATGGGGACATTGGGGACACTGGGGACATTGGGGACATCAGGGACATTGGGGACATCAGGGACAATGGGGACACTGGGGGCATTGGTGTGACACTGGGGCATATTGGGAACATGAAGGACATTGGGGACAATGGGGACATCGGGGGACATTGGGGGGCATTGGGGCGATATTGGGGGGCATTGGGGATATGGGGGACATTGGGGACATGGGGGGACATTGAGGGGACATTGGGGCGATATTGGGGACATTGAAGATATTGGGGGCATTGGGGACATTGGGGATATGGGGGACATTGGGGATATGGGGGACATTGGGGGGACATTGGGGGACATTGAGGGACATTGGGGATATGGGTGGCATTGGGGACATTGGGGATATGGGGGACATTGGGGATATGGGGGACATTGGGGGGACATTGGGGGACATTGAGGGACATTGGGGATATGGGTGGCATTGGGGACATTGGGGACATGAGGGACATTGGGGTGATACTGGGGATATTGGGGACACTGGGGACATTGGGGACACGGGGCAGGGGCTGCCCCCCCCGGAACACGTGCACCAGGTGCTCCCCCACCTCCCTGGGCACGAACGAGATCCCTGCGGGGACAATGGGGACATTGGGGACATTTGGGGGGACAATGGGGACATGGGGGACATTTGGGGGACAATGGGGACATTGGGGGACATTGGGGCTGCGGGCAGGGGCTGCCCTCGGAACACGTGCACCAGGTGCTCCCACCTCCCTGGGCACGAACGAGATCCCTGCGGGGACAATGGGGACATTGGGGACATTTGGGGGGACAATGGGGACATTGGGGGGACATTGGGGCTGCGGGGCAGGGGCTGCCCCCCCGGAACACGTGCACCAGGTGCTCCCCCACCTCCCGGGGCACGAACGAGATCCCTGTGGGGACAGTGGGGACATTGGGGTGATATTGGGGGCATTGGGGACATTGGGGACACGGGACAGGGGCTGCCCCCCTCCGGAACAGGTGCACCAGGTGCTCCCCCACCTCCCTGGGCATGAACGAAATCCCTGTCCCTCTGTCCCCTCATGTCCCCTGTCCCCAATGTCCCTGTCCCCTCACCGATGTGACCATTCCTGAGTCGTTTGAGCTGGCAGGGCTCTTTGTGCCCCCCCAGTGTCCCCTGTCCCTGTCCCTGTGCCCAATGTCCCTGTCCCCTCACCGATGTGGCCGTTCCTGAGCCGTTTGAGCTGGCAGGGCTCTTTGTGTCCCCCCCAGTGTCCCCTGTCCCTGTCCCTGTCCCCAATGTCCCTGTCCCCTCACCGATGTGACCATTCCTGAGCCGTTTGAGCTGGCAGGGCTCTTTGTGCCCCCCTAAATGTCCCCAGTGTCCCCCCCAGTGTCCCCTGTCCCTGTCCCCGATGTCCCTGTCCCCAATGTCCCTGTCCCCTCACCGATGTGGCCGTTCCTGAGCCGTTTGAGCTGGCAGGGCTCTTTGTGCCCCCCCAGTGTCCCCTGTCCCTGTCCCCAGTGTCCCTGTCCCTGTCCCCTCACCGATGTGACCATTCCTGAGCCGTTTGAGCTGGCAGGGCTCTTTGTGTCCCCCCCAGTGTCCCCTGTCCCTGTCCCCTCACCGATGTGACCATTCCTGAGCCGTTTGAGCTGGCAGGGCTCTTTGTGTCCCCCGCAATGTCCCCTGTCCCTGTCCCCAATGTCCCTGTCCCTGTCCCCTCACCGATGTGGCCGTTCCTGAGCCGTTTCAGCTGGCAGGGCTCCTTGTGCCCCGAGGGGGAGGTGACAGTGGCTGTGAGCTGGCTCAGGTCGGTCTCCCCGATGTCCAGGGGGATGTCGGCCGAGGCGCCCACCTTGAGGTGGGACAGGCGCAGGGAGTCGTCACCTGGGGGGCACAGGGGGGGTCAGAGGGGTCACAGGACCCTCAGAGTGGCACCTGGGGACACCCTGGGAGCTCCAGAGACCCCCAAACCTGTCCCAGAGACCCCAGAGCTGCTCCAGGGACCCCCAAACCTGTCCCGGGGACCCCCAGATCTGTCCCAGAGACCCTCAGAGTGGCACTGGGGACATCCTGGGGGCTCCAGAGACCCCCAGATCTGTCCCAGAGACCCTCAGAGTGGCACTGGGGACACCCCGGGGGCTCCAGAGACCCCCAAAGCTGTCCCAGGGACCCCCAAACTCCCCAGGGACCCCAAATCCCCCCCAAATCCCTCCCCAGCCCCCCCGTACCGGTGATGCGGGTGGTGAAGGGGCTGCCAGGGATGTGCTTGTCGTTGTACCTGACCCCTCTGGGACCCCCTAAAGCCCCCCAGGGCTCCCCAAAGCCCCCGTGCACCGGTGATGCGGGCGGTGAGAGGGGCTGCCAGGGATGTGCTTGTCGTTGTACTTGACCCTCTGGGGACCCCCAAATCCCCAGGGACCCCCAAATCCCTCCCCAGCCCCCGCGCACCGGTGATGCGGGTGGTGAAGGGGCTGCCAGGGATGTGCTTGTCGTTGTACCTGACCCCTCTGGGGACCTCAACCTCCCAGGGACCCTCAAACCCCCCAGGGCCCCCAAAGCCCCCTCAGGACCCCCCAGTCCCCTGTACCGGTGATGCGGGCGGTGAAGGGGCTGCCAGGGATGTGCTTGTCGTTGTACTTGACCCCTCTGGGGACCCCAAACCCCCAAACCTCCCAGGACCCCCAAAGCCCCCGTACCGGTGATGCGGGTGGTGAAGGGGCTGCCAGGGATGTGCTTGTCGCTGTGCCTGACCCTCTGGGGACCCCCAAATCCCCCAAACCCCCCAGGGACCCCAAAGCCCTCGTACCGGTGATGCGGGCGGTGAAGGGGCTGCCAGGGATGTGCTTGTCGTTGTACCTGACCCTCTGGGACCCCAAACCCCAAACGCCCAGGGACCCCCAAACTCCCCCAGGGACCCCCAAACTCCCTCTGGGGACCCTCAAACTCCCAGGGACCCCCCAAATCCCTCCAGGGACCCCCAAGCCCCCAGGACCCCCAAAGCCCCCTCGCACTGGTGATGAGGGCGGTGAAGGGGCTGCCAGGGATGTGCTTGTCGTTGTACCTGACTCCTCTGGGACTCCCAAACCCCTCAGGGACCCCCAAACCCCCCTAGGGACCTCCAAATCCCCAGGGACTCCCAAAGCCTCCGAATCCTCCCCAGCCCCCTGTACCGGTGATGCGGGCGGTGAAGGGCTGCCAGGGATGTGCTTGTCGTGTGCTTGACCACGATGCCGTAGTCCCCGGGCAGCACGGGCAGGTAGGGACACGCTGCACGTGCCGTCCTGGTTGTCGGTGCAGCTGATCTCGGCCTTGAGGGACCTTTCCACGGCCAGGGACAGCACTCTGGGGAAAAAGGGGTCACTGGGGTGGGACAGCCGGGAGGGGCTGGGGACAAGGTGGGGGCACCCTGGGAGGGGCTGGGGACACCTCGAGCAGGGTTGGGGATATGCTGGGGATCCCCAGGAGAGGATGAGGACCCCATGGGAGGGCTGGGGACACCTTGAGTGGGGATGGGGACCCTTGGGAGGGGTTGGGGACCCTTGGGTAGGACTGGGGACCCTTGAGAGGGCTGGGAACCCTGAAGATCCCTGGGAGGGGCTGGGGACACCTCGAGCGGGGCTGGGGACCCTTGGGAGGGGCTGAGGACCCTTGGGAGGGGGCTGGGGACCCTTGGGAGGGGCTGGGGACCCTTGGGAGGGGCTGGGGACCACTGGGAGGGGCTGGGGACACGCTGGGGACCCCCCAGGACAGGATCAGGACCCCCTGGGAGGAACTGGGGGACACCTTGAGTGGACTGGGGACACTTGA